AACCCTCAGCCCCCACCCCGCTGCCTTCACGGGGTTGCACCCTCGGTGTTTTTTATGGACCGTTACAAAGAAGTGATCCTTAAACTCCTGAAATCATTGCATTCCAGTGTGAAAACGGTTGGGTGGCATTCGGGGCCTTCACCTTCGTGCTCCGCGGCGCAGCTGAACCCCCCCTGTGTGCTCCTGAGTTCGGGGACGGTTTTCGGGTTGGGTTTGGGGTTGTTTGTTTGGTTTTTTTTTTCCCTTTTTGTAGGAAAACCTTTGCAGAAGCCATACAGGTCGCTGAAGTCCAGCACTTGTCCGAAAAGCCGAGCTGTGGCCTCTTTGAAAATGGATTTCTCTGTGTCTGTGGTGGAGCAGCGTAACAGATCCTGTGGTGTAGCGCCGTCGACGTGTGTTTTCTTGTAGCCTGGGTGTCTCTTTTCAAAGGAGTTGGGTTTGTTTTTTAATACAGATTCTTTTCCTGGGGTGAAAAATACCCCTTTTTTTGTTGGGCTTTTTTTTTTTTGAGGTTTTATCCCCAGTTCTCTTTACAGAGACCCTTTGCTGTGTGGTTTTAGGGACGCGTGGACGGAGGACGCGTGCAGGCCTCCGCGTCCCGTCACGAAAGCACAACTCGGCGGGGCCGCGCCGAGCCTGCGACCACGCCACCCCCTTTTGCAAAGCCAGATTCGCCATCACCCTTTGGGTTTGCTGGTGTCGCCTCCTCCCCGGTGGCCGTCGTGGAGCCCCGTGCTTGGTTGCTGTGGTTTTTTTAACTCCATCCGAGAGGTCGCTCGCAGCTTTGGCTCGCCTTGAATTCCTCAGCGCCACGTGGAGCTCATTGAAGTAGCGCAGGAAATTCAGTTGGAATTAATGAAGATTTTTTTTCCCCGGGTGAATTTCCTTTTTAAGCTGCTGGAGCACGTCAAGCATTTTAAACATTAAAATCACCCCAGAGGGCTTTCCAGCTCCACCCGTGCTTTGGTACCAACTTCCACCTCTGTCTTACTCATCACGTAAAGGGGCCCTGACATCTCCAGCGCTGGATTTTGGGGTGCACTTTGTCTTAGGGGGGTGCAATACCCCAGTGTCCGAGCCCAAACGCTTGCACTGTGCTCTCGTCACAGGGAGGAAGCCGCGCGGTTTCTTCTCCCCATTTATCCACCCCTTACACCGCCGTTACTCTGCCTTCTCGCCGTGTAGCGTCCTGGTTGATCCAGAAGAGCAAACCCACCTGAGACACGAGGTGTTTAGCTTGGCAGCGTAGCAAATACTGGGTTTTCAGCTCTGCCGCACGCTGGAGGAGCCCCAAACCCAAATGATCCCAGTGGATCCAGCATGGGAAGGACGTGAGTTTAGTTTAGGGTTTCTCTGCTGATCCTACTACACGTTGTACGTGTGGGTGCAGTTCAGGTGCTCATACTGAGGACAGAGTTGATCCAAATCCCAAAAAGGCCGGGCACAAGGACGTTATGCATCTTGATTTTTAAGGTTTTTTTCCTCTATTTTTTTGATGCTTTCTCCGTTTCTCGCAGATATTGGAAACACCTTTGTAACGAGTGCGCGCTGCGATCGTATCCGTTAACGGGAGGAGCGGCTGTCACGGGAGAAATTTCAATACCAAAGGTAGCAGAGGTGAATTTTTTTAACGTACACACGCACGCACACACGAAAACCCCCATAAAAACGTGCTCCCTTCGCGAACAACCGGTCCTTGCTGCGAGCAAACATCCCCTTCCTGCACATCTCCTCCATCCTTTGCCCGTTTTGGCTTCGGAGAACCCGCAGAGACTCTTTGGGTCCTGCTCCAGAGGTGGTGTCGGTGCCTTACGGAGGCCACAATGCATTGGTTTGACTTGCTTTGAGTGAATGCCAGGGGGAATCTCAGTGCGCAGCCGATGCTGTGGTGCTTGCTGAGCGCCCGCGCAGTTGGATGGGGGAGCTCGGAGGCGCAGTTTGGCCGTGCCAAGGCCTTTGGTCTCCTCAGCCACCTCATCCTTAGCATCTCCAGTGCGGTTTTATGGCCTTAGCGCCCGTGGAAATGCAACCAACCACCATCAGAGGCTGCGGACGTGAAGTGAGTCAGGGTGGGGGTTTCTCTTGTTAATTATTTTAATTGAGTTGTGCAGCGCAGGAGAATTGGCCATCGGCGCCCGTAGCCTCATCGAATTCACTCAAGTTGGGTTTAGTTTGGGTGTTTTTTGGTCTCTATGCTGACAGAGGTCTCTATGCTGACAGAGGTCTCTATGCTGACAGAGGTCTTAGTCCCTAAGACCCCCTCAACCTTCCCACGAGGATCCCTGTCCATAAATTACTCGCAGGCGTAGGGGACGTGCAGCCAGGGACGCACAAGCACAACCGTCCAAGCGTGGCAGTGCTGTTTTCTCGGCCGGCGTGCGAGGCCTTCACTGAAAGCTGCTATTTCCATTCACCTTAGAATTGTCCTTTGAAGTTTTCTCTACCTTTCTTTCCTCTTTCGTTTTTACATGTGGGATATACACCATGTGTTGAATATGCAATAACTTGTTTACAGGATGCTCTTGTGAAGGGCGGTCCTTTGTAAAGCTGTACAGACTTTGCAGTTTAATTAAGCACAATGTGCACACGTTAGTTTTCTATACGGCGAGACGGGACTTTTTTGCAGAGGGAGAGGTTCTACTATGTTTATATACCAAGGAAGCGGATCCGCGTTTGTGCTTCGTGTAAAGCTGCTTTATAAGACTGTAAAATAAATTTTTTTTATCTTAAGCCAAACGTGGGGTGTTTTCAGTCGTCTCTTTCACCTCCTCCCCCGTGCGTGGTTGCAGATGGGCCCTGCTGAGCGGTCTTGGTGCTTACGACGGCCCCTTTTGGGGAAGGTTTTTATTCAGACTAAGATGAAAGGTGCCCTTTTATCAACAGCTTGCTGACTTAAGGTAAGGACCTCAGATTTACATTCAACATTCATGCATTACGTTGGTGCTTTGAGTTATTCTGTTCAATGCATTTTGAGCTGCTGTGATTTTTGGTTAAATACCAATTTTACCTAAAAAAATCCCCTTAAAAAGACACCAGGTGATCTGCGGAGGTTGCTTGGAAGAGATGCACCAGCTAAAAATGTGCAAGTCCTATCAAAATCCAACCCCCAAAATCGGGATTGGGGTCAGTCTGCGGTGACGCAGAAGAGCCGTTGTTTGGGCAAAAATAGTGATTTTTCTAAAAATGTGCCAATGAAAAACAGATTTGGGGGCTTTAAATGTGTTGGTTTGGGTGTTTGCTGCTCGGTTTGGGGTGGAAGGAGATGCATTTACCTGGAGGGACTGATAACTCCTGGGGGTGCTGAAGGTTAAAACAGCCGCTGCTGCTGCTACTCTGGTAATCCAGGGCTGGTAACCTGATAATCCACTGATCTCCTAATCTGGGTAATTACATCAAAAAATTACCTGCTGCAAACACCTTTCCACACAAATCACCCCAAAAATATTAAAATAAAACCCACAGTGGAAACAATATGATTGGAATTAAGACTGGGAGTATCTCAGATTAGGATTAACCCAGGTTAGGGTGTTATTCCAGATTAGGATTAACTCAGATTAGGAGATTATTCCAGATTAGGATTAACTCGGATTAGGAGATTATTCCAGATTAGGATTAACTTGGATTAGGGGATTATTCCAGATTAGGAGATTATTCCAGATTAGGATTAACCCAGATTAGGAGATTATTCCAGATTAGGATTGACTCAGATTAGGAGATTATTCCAGATTATGATTAACCCAGATTAGGAGATTATTCCAGATTAGGATATTATTTCAGATTAGTGTATTATTTCAGATTTGGATGATCCCCTAATCTGAGATAACCCTAATCTTAATTCCAACCGTATTGTTTTCATTGTGGTTTTTATTTTAATATTTCTATGTGCATAAAGGTATTTGTGGCACAGAAAAATCCCTACCTAATTTGCGATGGATTTGCATAATTAGCTGTTAATTAATAATTAGGGGTAGTGCGTGTATAACTTAGGTACTAAGTTAAGCTGGTGCTGATACCTGCGGGTGGGCGATGTGATGGGTTCAGGAGCCCTTTTAAAGCTTTTTTGGGGTTTTATTATGCCAGACTTCACCCTTCCCAGCTCATTTGATCCTCGTTTGGGGGAAATCTGCATCTTGGTCTCTGGGGGTAATGGTTTGGGGGCAAAAAGAGCCCAAGGGATGGTTAAACCCCCCCATGGTTCCAAAAGCCACGGCGCTGCTGGGATGAAAGCATCTTCCTTGTGCTGCCTGGTGACGGCTTTGATTTCTTCACCCAAATCCAAGGGCACTTTATAAACCCCGAGTGTGAGCAGCAGTGTCCGTCCCTGCATCCCCAGCTCATCCCTGCATCCCACCCGAGGCTCCTCTCTGCCCCCGGAGATGCTTTGGGTGGGGGCAGAGGTTGTGGCCGTGGGGTCTGGCCGTTCATTGAGGACCCCATTGACGGACCCATAGGGACAAAGCCCTGCTTAAGCGGGGGATTAAAGCGCTTACACCCATCCTTTGGGGTTAAAACGCGGGATAAGGGTTACATTCCCCAGCCCTGACATCAAACATCCCTCGCTGCTGTGCTGTGTCTGAGCCCGGCTTTTCCAAGCCCTGGATCCCGCAGCAGCGATGCCCGGTGCCTGTCCAAATATTGTGAAACGTTACCAACGGCTGCGGGAAAAACAGAGCCGTTTTCGGGGAGAGAAGGGGAAAAACTGAGCCGTTTGCGGGAGGAGAAGAGGGAACCTGAGCCGTTTGGGGGAGGAGAAGAGGAAAAACAGAGCCGTTTTCGGGGAGAGAAGGGGAAAAGCCGAGCCGTTTGCGGGAGGAGAAGAGGGAAAACAGAGCCGTTTTCGGGGAGAGAAGGGGAAAAACTGAGCCGTTTGCGGGAGAAGAGGGAAAACGGAGCCTTTTTCGGGGAGAGAAGGGGGAAAACGTGCGG